AATGTTTTAACTTATAATTAATAGTAACAATAAGCTGCTACTTGAAGTTAAATGAACTTCACAAAATGGTCATCAAAATGAGGATATGTTTATACTTGCTACTTGTCCGTATCAACATCCTAGCAAATCGGTCTGACCCATCAGTGCTGTGTTCTCTGCAGCAGCAGCCAAAAAACAAAACAAAAATGTCTCCAAAATCAGCATTTCCCCAGCAACAGCCACAAAAATGTCTCCAAGTTCAGCGTTTCCCAGTAGGAGTTGACTTGCATATCTGAGACATGTTTATATTGCTTCAGACATGATTCACAAGTCAGTATCAAATGTGTGGGAGCTGTGTCAATGCAGTGGCTGGCACACTTCCCTTAGTCTTAGTCTTAGTTGGGGTTTCAACTTCACTGCAATCGGTTCACCCTATACTTGCTCCGTTCCTGTGCCAATTACAGCGATTTTACATTTGTTTAATTATCATTATAAATAAGGGTTTTTTTTTTTTTTCAAATGTTAACTCAGAACTATTTGAAATATATCTTTTAATACAACCTGCCATTAACTATCATTACTTCCTCCATTTACCACTTTTGTGGGACATATATATTGCAGTCACTGCACGCAATGCAGATCAGCATCTAATTTTTTTGCTCCCAACAGAAGGAAAAAAACCATAACTTTACTGAGGATTTGAACCTGGGTCTCCTGTGTGAACATTCAGTATTCTTAACCTTTCAATCCTTTTCAGTATAAACATAATTTTTTTTTTACTTAAAAAAAAAAAATGTTTGAAGCCACCAAAATGTCAGATATTATACATATCACTCCAGTAAAGAGTAAAACCACAGACATATATCAAATTTACTGTTGACTGCAGAAGAGATATCTACTGTTCAACTATTACTGACAGAATTACCATAATTGCACTCTGGCAAACCCAAAGGTGCTCCAGCTTCCCCAGCAGATGATACGGATAGATGGATGCTGACTGCTGAGTATGATGGCTGCACAAATGTCTGATCCATGCTCTCCGATATTCCTGAGATGTGTTTCAAGCTCAGCCTATCATTATGATTGAGCAATTAATGTTGTTTAACTGCTGCAAGTCTCAACTGATGGCAGTACTGCCCCCTCATCGACTTCCAGTTTTTAAAAACATAAATCAACTGTTTGTACAGAACATACAAATTCATTGTACATCTATACTCAAACATTAATAGCAGTTTCTATCTAGAAACCATCATACAGTTATAATAAACCATTTCAACAGCAAATCTGATTAAATATACAAGAACTCATGTAACAGCTCTGATTCCCTGTTGGAATTATATCACAATATTAAATAACAACACATATTCATGTAACACCATATAACCATTCATTATAAACTCACGTAACCATATAAAAGTCATGACAGATTCATATAACATTACATAAGCAATTATCACAAACTCATGTAACACAGTCATCACAAATTCATGTAACATCATTTAAACAGTTATCACAAATTCATGTCACATCAAATAATCATTCATCACAAATACATGTAACATGACATAAACAGTCATTTCAAATTCATGTAACATCAGATAAATAATTATCACAAATTCATGTAACACAGTCATCACAAATTCATTTAACACAGCTATCACAAATTCCTGTAAGTCATCACAAATTTATGTAACACAGTCATCACAAATTCATGTAACATTCCATAATAATTAATGTACTATCATGTGAACAGCCATAACAAGTAAATACAGCACCACATGAGAAAAAACAACAAGTTACCAAATCCTCACAAGAAACAAGACTCACACAATAGTATATCTAAAGGATAAAATAAACAGTCCAAGAAATAAGTATACCCAGGCTACACAAAGTAATTCCATTTCAAATGATCACAATTAAACAACATACTGACTCTTTGCGAATGTATCGTTACTTAGGTGGCGGCTGAATCCATCAAGCTTGGACTTCATAGACACTAATATTTTTTTGTTGTTGCTAGGAAAATGAATTTGTATGAACAATAACAAAATATTTCAATCCAATCATCCCTGTTTCGATTAGGTGTCTCTGGAATTTGGTTGTTGTGAAATTGACATTTCATATAAAAATGGTCATGAAATCCAAAGTATTTTGATCAACTGTCTCAAATAAAGACTAGCTGATGCATAACTGAATAGACAGGAAAAGGTATGTGAATGTTTAGACATGGATAGCAGTGTCTAGCACCAATGACATGGGAAGTAAAGGTGGATGGCATAATGATCACATCATCCACAGAGTGCCAACAAGTCTATAAAAACATGAGTTTGGCATCATATGCATGGTATGTCGCTGGCATGAAGCAGGGTCCTTTAAGATATTCAGTTTACTTCCCACTGTAGAAAACTCAGTTACATCAATGTCACAGTAATTATGTAATACTGTCCTCCCCTCCTTTCATTCAACTACATAACGTAACAAACTGCTGTCAGTTTGTCAAAATGTATAAACAAATCTCTTATTAGAAGATATATACTTATAAAAAATAATATTTTACAAGAGGGTTGGAAAATGAATTCAGCAGCATGAGTTGGGAGGTTCTGTGGACAAAGACTTACTGATGACATCACCACGGTGGATCAAACTCTGAAGTGCTTGCTTGACTGGAGCAACAGCAATTTTTTTTTTGAAATGTTGCAATCCCATTTTCTTTTTAAGTTGCCCTATAGCTTTAATAGGACACACTTGAGGGAATAACAGATTGAGATCTACAAACAGTCTAACAGTACACCAGATCTGGAGTGTCGAAGGCCCTCTCCAGTCAGTCTTCACTGTGATGACAGCACCTGATGATTGATTGCTCTCAAATGAGACTTTCTGATTATCACTGGTATGATGAGCTTTTTGTCAGTGTTTTTATACTCTGTGATTTTCTGCAGCTTCTTTTCATTCTGTGAGTAGTTTGCATGTCCTTTGGGCTTTTCCACTGCTAATCTTGAAGATAGAATCTTTAGCAGGACCCACTGCTGACTTGCTGCACTCTACTGTCTTTATCCACCTGTTGTGTGGGTTTATAACAATTACCGCTGTAGTCCTGTCAAAGGCCTGCTAGGGATCCCTGAATGTTTTTCAAGCAGGCAATCTATTTAATTACTATTAAACTGAAAAAAACTTTCTCATAAGAAACTAGATGAATGGGGAAACAAATGCATCCTTATAATTCACTACATCTCTTCCCCTAAGAAACTAGATGAATGGGGAAACAAATGCATCCTTATAATTCACTACATCTCTTCCCCTAAGAAACTAGATGAATGGGGAAACAAATGCATCCTTATAATTCACTACATCTCTTCCCCTAAGAAACTAGATGAATGGGGGGAAAAAATGCAGAAGAAATTTGGTGACTTGATCAGTGACACTTATGATCAATGAACAGACAGGCAAGCTTGATGGCTGCTGCGACATCATTGCTGTCAAATGCCTAAATAGTTCATATTAATTTTTTTAAATCACATGTAAGTGGAATTTTTTTTTTTATTTAAGGAAATTGACTACTAATTACAAATAGAGAAAAGAGTTAACCGCTTTCCTTCCCTCTGACCCTGACAAATGTGGTTTTGTTGACTTTGACATGTGCAGCACAGTGACGTCATAAGTAGATGTGCTACTCCATAACTTCAGTGAATATATGTTTTCCGATAGTCTAAGGAGACCCTTGTGAAAGGGTCCTTCGACCCTAAAAGAGGTTGCAACCCACAGGTGTTTTTGGCTGCTGCAGTTTTTTATGCAAATGTTACATTCAGTAGTTTGCGAATGCTTTCTAAACGGTCGGCTCATGATACCACTGTTGCCTGCAGCTTCACTTCTACCTGGCACCACAAAGAGCAACACTTAAGCCACAGACGCTGACCATATAATAATAGCATAGTTATCAAATAGTTTTATTCCCGCTAAACTTGCAAACAGCAATACTGTCAAAACACTTTTTACATGTGTGTGAATATGGTATCTGAGTGTGTATACATAAAGAATAAATGTAAAAAAATACACGTGTATATTAATGGCTAGACTAAGCAAGTGTAAGCAAGCAGAAAGTGTTCCTGGCAACAATGTGATCAATCTGACCAAGGTCGAAAAGTGATGCACTCTTGCATCGGAAGGTTAAGGCATATATCGGCACATTGGCATGAGATTTAGTTCTGCTCTGTGTATTTATTTACTCCTCAAGGTAATCAACTCTGCTCCTCAATCCTCCTGATAAAATGAAGTACACGGTCTAATCCAGAACCCTGTTTCCAGTCCTAAAGTTCAATAAAATTATGCTAGTGAAGGGGATTCTCAATGTTTGGGAGCATGAAGTTGTCTTTTGGTGCTCAGTCTGATGGATGCGGTATGCTGCTCCCTACTGGGCGAGTACAACAATGCCATGGGTAACTAACTATATGTTAGTGCCCTGAGAGGGCAGTTCTATGATCGTGGCATTTGGGAGTGTGTCTTGACCCCATACTAAAGTGCAAAACTTTTCAACCTCCACTTGTCTATAAATTTTTATATATAAAATAAATTCTGCTGTAAAAATGTAACTAAATGAAAAAAGACAAGCAAATTTGTGTGACAATTCAGTTTTTAAATGTGTGAATACAATGACAAAATGGGGAAGAATGAACTTGGAAGGGAGTTCACGAGGCGGCACAAGAGAGGGCATGGCGTTAAGTTAACGTTGTTGAGGCTGTGCTTTCTTCTTCGTTGCTAGGCTCTGAACTCAATGCTGTCAATCTCTGCATGGGAGGTGGCACAAGAGAGGGCATAGCGTTAAGTTAACGTAGTTGTAGCTGTGCTCTCTTCTTCCTTGCTAGGCTCTGAACTCAATGCTGTCAAACTTTGCATGGGAGGTGGCCCAAGAGAGGGCATGGCGTTAAGTTAACGTGGTTGTGGCTGTGCTTTCTTCTTCGTTGCTAGGCTCTGAACTCAATGCTGTCAAACTCTGCATGGGAGGTGGCCCAAGAGAGGCCATGGCGTTAAGTTAACGTAGTTGTAGCTGTGCTCTCTTCTTCGTTGCTAGGCTCTGAACTCAATGCTGTCAAACTCTGCATGGCAGGTGACAGCTTGTGATGAATAGTCTGGGTAAAATTCTGAAAACAAATGTTCACAAATCTTCCTTTTTCAAATTGCAAATGATCTGAGTTTTACTAAAATACATTGTTAAAACACTGAATGCTAAAGATATTGCAAAGGTTAGTTGCGTATCCCTTACAGGGCGTTGCAGAACCAACCCCAGGGGCTGTTGTGTGGTTTCTCTGGGCAAATTTACGTCAAGTAGTTTGCCATTGCTTTCTGGACGGTCGGCTTTCTTGATACCACTGTCAAAACCAACGCAAGGTGCATGGCCCGCAGCTGGAATCGAACCCGGCATCCCGGCATTACAAAGCGTTGGCATCGACTTAGCCACAGAGCCGACGATATTGCAAAGGCTAAGCAAAATTAGTACAGGGATGACAGTAAGTAAATAAAAGAGACACTTTCTTACTATAAGATTTATTTGGTGTGAGAAAACCAGTGTTTGTAGAAAATACAAAAATACAAGTGTATATTTAGTCAAAACAGAACCACTGTTGTATTCTGTATTTAATTTTTGGTGAATCTGACAATGATGGGACTGCAGGGATTGCACCTTCATGGGGTATAAGGATTTTTTTTTTTAAATTTAGTATCCAAAAGCCATGATTGTTAACCCTTAGGCTCATTATTATGGATATCGCAACCCTTTGGCCATGATTCCATGATAAATACCGTAAATCTGGGAGAAATGTGGTTTTCTGTTACCCTCGGGCGTGAACCCAGACCACATGGAGTTCGTCACCCAGTCACCGCACAGTCCGGTTTAGCCAACTATGCTAGAGAGCCGGGTGTATAAGGAATTTAAATTACATCATTGGATTAACAGGTTTAATCTACCCTGAAGATACTGTTCGTCAACTATAAAGGATTATCAGAATTTTGGTCCAATATACTGAAAGGCGGTGCGATCATTAACGTCTTGGGATGTTACTTGTTTCTGACTGTTGTTTGCTAGCGCATTTTTCACTATATGTGGACTAAAATTAAATAGTTATGTTGCCCAGCTACTAAGCTGAGTTGTGCTTTATGCACATGTTGTTGACTGTACAGTCTCTTTCCAGTCTGTGACAAGGGACAGTGACATGCATTCTGTGCGGTTTTTGCTGGCACAGGGATGGAACAATTATGAGACGAACCAATCACTGTAAAGCTAGAAATGCGTGTGCGACTAACTATTAATGGATTACACACAATATGAACGGAGACCTTCCAAAGTGACATCTAGGAAAAGGCACATGAAATCTATCAGAATATTCATACTTGATAAGAAATCCACACTGTTATTGTTACTGGGGCTCATAAAAGGCACAAAAACGAATTCACTACAATCTACCAGGCATGCCTTTAAAGCCAGCTAAAGGGTCAACTAATTAATTAATGGGTAGCTCTGTGGCAAAGTTGTCAAGCCATTTGCCTCGCGTTCTGAAGGTCGTGAGTTTAGTTTTACAGCCACGTTGTTTATTTCACGAGTGCAGTTTGTATGGAGATACATGGCAATCATTGTTGAAGCTACGGAGCCTGACTCTCGGCAGGCAGGTAGCAGTAATGTGGAGAGAGACTGAGCTACACAAGGACAACCTGGAGCAAGGAAGGCGATCACCTTGACATTAACTAGATTTTTAATTCTAACTTTAAAGAGAATTAATGTGAGCCTGGCTTATTCATCTGCAGAAAACTAGTTACAAAATTAAATAAATCTATAATAGATCTGGCATTAGTTGCTTGAGAGTCTATGCTTACTCCAAGACAAAAAACAAAATTAAAAAAGGCAGGAATACATTTAAATTTGTAGAAACTAAACAGCATCCTGTTGTTAAAGCTGAGGCTATGTTAAAGGTAATGAAGAGAACAGTGAGGGAAGTACCGTTCCCAAAATGAGGCAGAGGATGACCTCCTTGCAGGTGGTTTTAAGACACTGAAGATGTACTGTCTATGAAAGTACATAGAGATGGAAAACTGGCTAGAAAAAAAAAAAAGAGACTAAGTATGTCAAGAAAAGAGGGACATTATATAGAGAACCTTCTAACTTATATGATTTATGTCTTTTCATAAATAAAATATAAAGATGTGAATGATAAGAATATCTCATCTGGATAAACCTATGTGCATCAAACATGCCATGCAATGAATACTTGTACGTTACCTTTGATATCATTAACTGTGACCAACATCTAATCTTCACAAGTTTTGTTCACCTGAGATATAACATCCCCTTTAACTCGTCGTGCCTGGTACAGGTGACGATAGCGGGTCTGTTGGGTCTCTCTCTTCTCTCTGGCCCTTGTCTGCTGAAGATTAGCTCCCTGTTCTCTACGACTTCGCAGAGCTATATATATATATATATATATATATATATATATAACAAATATAAATTTTTTTTTAATACAAAAAATACTCATACAAAATGTACACATAATCAGAAATGGAAACTGATAAACATATTTTCAAATGTATGTGTCAGATACATCTTATTTTGCAGAAAAAAATTACAAGATTACTTATAAATTATGTGCAAAAGATTGAGTGGATGACAGATATAACTATCTAAGAGGTAAGGAATCAAAAGTCTGCATATAAATAAACCAGATCTGTAAAATGGATATGCACACAGAACTCAAATACTGGAACAAGACCAAAGTCCAGACGTGGACGAACAACCAGGACTCTCCGCTGAAGTATACAGTTTGTGAACGCTAAGAAGATAAGAAAAAAAAAAGATGGGAAGGGAAGTTCCACAATGCAGCACATGTTAGTACTGGGTCAGGAGACAAATCTCTAAACCAATCTCATGCCAATACATGCAGGTCTTTAAGTTTATATGACCTCAATGCCAATGCATCAGATTCACTCTTCTAATGGATTCACAATGAACCTCTTGAACCAATGAAATACAAGGCACCAGAACAGCAAGACAGAAAAGGCACACTGTGGTATTCACTGCATAATTACAACCAAACAAATAGTACCATGACACCAAAAATACAGCAACACATAAATCGTACTACAGTGCAGACAGAATATTTTATTTCTGAACTTCATATTTATCTGTCGAAGTTCGCAAATTTGTGTTGTCTGCAGAGACATCATCATTACTAAGTGCCATGCTGAGTGGTGCCGGCCATCATACTAATTCACAAACAAACACCTGTACTCTGTAATCTCTATACGAATGTAAATACACACACATAACTTACCCAGTCGATGGTCTACTCCATAGCTGGTGAATTTCCACTGAATAATTGTTCCTCCTGAAGCAATAGCAGGCCAGAGTGCAAACACAAACCAGCTATACCAGCACAGATCTGAAGGTTTCTCTGCCTTAACATGATCCCAGACATACAGCGCCATACGAGACAGCTCTACAAAATAGTCTATGCCTGTTAGTCCCATAGCAGCACCAAACACACTAGTACTTATCACTGTTAATGTCTTCTGGAAGCGAAAGCTCAAGATTCCAAAGAGAACTCCGAGCACCAGAAATACTCCTATTGGAATCCACTTGGTGTAAGGGTGTACAATCTGCTCCACCACAATAAGGATCACAGCTGCAGCTGCCACTCCAAGGTTGAATCCTGTGAGAAAGAGGCCAGCATATTGCAGCAACATGGTGAAGAGACCTAACAGGACACCTGCCCCAAGTGCACAGCCCAGAATCCCTTCAGGGGGGAGGATGTCATGTTCTCGCAGGATCATGAACACCAGAACAGTACCAAAGATGAATCCTGTCAGGAACATAATGGCTTTGAAGAACCTGTACCCTGCAAAAGCAACAGAAAGAACATGGGAATCATTAGCTTTAAACATAGATATCAAATAAAACCTCTCTACTATAATATGCAATATACCACTAATACTGACACTAAACAGACAGTAGCAGAAGATGTTTTAGCATGCAGTATAATATAAGCTTACAGCAGGAATAACAGACTTAGAAAACATACAGCAATATTGTTACACTTCTAACAACCTAGAAGTGCTAAGACTAATCATTGCCAGAAGGACTGTGATTTCTGGTTGATGGAAGTGGTCAGTAACACACCCAATATTATTACCCACCAGCCCCAGCACTGACCGGCCACCCAGTACTTTCTGTATATAACAACACAAGCAGGTGCATGCACAGACGAAAGACATTCCACGCACAATACACAGCTGACAGTGCTGCACAAAGCACTTCGCTTTTTGTTTGACAGCTAGGACATTCTAAAGAATGGTTATCATCCTCATGTACCCTGACAAATAATACAGGTGATCATGGATCACCATTGAACATGATCAACAGAATCACAGATGAGGTCAGTGCTTTTGTTGTGCTCTGTCCACATGGTCAAGTTATCTAGGTATTTATCCTCTCCCACACCACCCTCTCCTTTCTCATAAATCTTGCCAGTCGACAGGTGTATACGATAACATAGACAGCGGATATACTAAACAAACTCATCCTATAACTTAAGAGATGCAGTGAAGAAGAGGATGAAAGGGTTAATGAGTAACCACATCTTAAAACATAAAACTTCTGCCCTAGATTCCCCCACTGTAACACAGGTCCTCAACCAATTCACTTGAAGTCGTCCAATTCTGTGCTACAGCATACAGCTCACTTTATGTCTTTTTCATCTTTGTAACTTCACTTTTTAGTTCTCTTCTCTATGAGTCTAGTCAGCCTTTTTCCTTCAATTCCCTTAACTCTCTTAACTCTCAGGGGGGTTTAGCATCAGAAGCCCAAGGGGTGGAATGCAATTTTTTAATTTCACAAGTGTTCCATATAAAAATAGACCATACTAATTCAACTGCTGCGCGACATATACATATTATATATCAAAGTGACCAGGGATTGTTGGGGAATAATAATTGAATACTGCTACAACAAATAATTGCATCAGTAATTAAATATTAGTAAAAAAGGGACGGTATATTTATATGAATTAGTGCAGTAAAGCAAACCAAGTATTGGGACAGCTAGCCCCCATCTTACAGCATAAGACAATCCCAATCAGCACAAAGAGACATCTTATTCAAAGCATATTTATTCCAACTCTGTGCTACCAGTGCCAGACATGGTCACTCACAACAAACCATAAAAGAAAATTTGTAACCACGGAAATGAGATGTCTGAGAAGGGTTGTAGGAGTGACCATAAGAGATAAGATCAGGAATGAGATCATAAGAGAACAAGTTGGCACAGAACCAATTCTGGATTACATACAAAGACAGCAAGTGAAATGGTTTGCCCACTTAAAGAGAATGCCTTGTGACACCATACCATAAAAAGCATACATGGAAAGAGAAGAAGGACGTAGAGCACGGGGTAGACCAAGAACAAGATGGAAGGATAACATCAGAGAAACTCTACAACAGCACGATGTGCCTATGGTCGAGGCAGCCAGAAGAGCTAGAAACAGAACCTTATATCTCCCTCGACACCCACAGCGGTAAAAGAAGAAGTGAAGAAGAAGAAGAAGAAGAAGTAAAATGAAATAATAAATTATCCATTTACCACCATATCACTCAGGAATACCACATGAAATATATACATAATGAATCACAAATGAACATGAACTACTTAGTAATATATAAGTAAAATATAAACTCAATCTGTATTAGATTTTGTTCCAGAGATTCTTTTTAAGCATAACAGAGCACCATTATTTGGTAGAGAGAACTGATTTCCCAAAACAATTAGTATCTTCACACAAAACAAAGTTTATATTACACTCAATTTGCCTGTAGTTTTGTAGCTATGTTCCTAAATAATAAGGGAAATAGTACTAGAACTAACTGACACTGAAGAAAATTGCCTTTTCACTAATTTTTATTCTATTTGTGCCAGCTGACTTTGCTATCTTACCTTTCGTGTGAGGGACACATCAGACCTATCGCTCATCAAAGTTAGACTGTATAAATGACAAAAACGAATCTACTTCGCAACATTATCTAACTTTGGATTAATCTAAAAAACACGTGCTTTATTTGAATATGAAGCTTCTTAAGTCGCAAATTATGTTGGCATGCTTGTAGAATACTACTCAGTGGCCATATTGTTTTAAAACACTCAGTATCTCGGTAAACCTCACAACTAAACTATATTTTTTGCTTTTAAACCATGTTTCCAAATGAGCACGCCTGATATAAAACACAAAGAACTCTAAAGGAAGCTGAAATTGAGCAGTCAGCGTTTTATTACTGCTCAGTGGTTAATTAAAAACCTTCACTTGTTCCGCGCCAAATTGGGCCGCTGGGTTGTAACTGATTAGCGCATGATGCGTTCCCTGGGACTCTAAGAGTTAAAGACATTCTAGTTATGTTGTTATCAGGTTTTTTCAATGTTTCCTATCCAATGGCAGCGACTTTTTCTTCATCTCTTGATTCACTGGAATTTGTTTAGCTCCCAGAGCTCAACACTAATGATTCTATCATATCATTCAATTCCCTCCATTCTGTGATCAATGTTGAGCTGTGGAAGAGAGCTTCACAAATTCCTGTCTTTGTTGCAGCTGGTCTAGGAGGAAAGCTCTGACAACCAAGACCTAAGGCCTGTTCTGCCCTATCATAGCATTAAGTTTGAATTTCTTCTGCTTAGGATAAGGCTAGTATCCTCCCCAATGTGCTCCTCCATCCAAAGCCATTAGCACATGCTGGGATATCAGGTTTGATACATGCTGCAGAACATTTAGCATCAACAGAGAACAGCTAGTACCATATAATGATATACAGTAACTGAAGATTCAAACAAATATGTGAAGCAAATATGTTTGGCACAGAAAATATCTTACCAAAGAATGTGTACAGGATTCCAAATGTGATGCAGGCAGCAGCAACAATACTTTTGAAAATGTCATATTCGGTACTGATGTCACAGCCTGCATACTCTGGCAGCTCCTGACCACCTGAAGGATCTGTTATATTATCCACAAACAAAGTCTCAGTTTGGATGCTGTGCAGCATCACGCCGGCCGCCTCTACTTCCCGGGATTGCACCCGGTACCCACTCAAGGCTGGGTCGACCTGGGAGCCAAGGTCATTTTTGAAGAAAAGTCCGTCTCCGCCAGGGAGCGAACCCACGACCTTCCAATCCGCGGCGCGCGTCTAGCTGTTCTGCCACAGCGACTCCCGAAGATACTAGAGTTCGCTCAGAAATTGATGAACATGAATAGATTGTAATATTTTGGAAAATAAAAAACCAATTGTATTGAAATTTGGTATGCTAAATCCAGACACCCTTGAAAATTAGAAAATATATTTTCACTAATGAAGAGTTTCAAATGAAGTTTATTTTTCTTCTTTACTATATACATTTTTAACATGAAACTTTTGGTAGAGTTTTCAAAGGTTTACTTTCATCAGTTTCAGGAAGTAATGTTAACAAGCACACATAACAGGTTCAACAATAAGTCAAAGAAACACTAAGTAATATCACCATTTTCTTGCGCAAAGTCACACTGTTAGTGAACTGAACCCAGAATAAGACAGCTCAAGGTTGTTTAGTTGAAGGTACATCCACAAATCAGTGTTTAGTTATTGTGTCATATAGTTGGTTCATCAAAACTGACATAGACATCCATTTCATAATGAGTTTGAGGTCAAGATTTATAACTATGCAGAAGGTTACTGTTTTACTGTACCAGGACTTTCAGCTGAAACAGAAGATGGGTCAATCATATTGTGATATTCAATATTCAGAGAAGCTAACAAAACTGGCACTTGGTCTGGAGAAAGCAAAATTTATTCTAAAGATAAGCCTCTGAAAAAACTGAACTTGTTAACAAGTTTACTGTAAAATATAAAATGTCACTCTACTTATTTACAACGGTTCAAAAAGATCAAAGAAACTGGCTGATTTTCAAAATCCTGAGTATGTATGTACTAAACAACAGAACTAAGTTGTGTATATTCAAAGGCTGCATGACAAAAATCATTGTGATCTAATAGGCAGTTTTACCCAAAAGAAAATAGACTGCAAACGTGTTCATGAATTTCTGAGTGGACTATAGCCTTTCATTCACGGTAGTCAGATTCTAATCCTTCAAAATGCAACATTTTAAAAAATGGGACTAGTCTCTAGCAAGTAAATAAGTTTAGGTATATGGGTAATTGATTACAGCAGATGGTCAATGTACCGAGGAAGTTAATTGTAGAATAGCTCAGGCAAAGGTAGCATTTATAGGATAGAGAAAATTCCACAAAATCCTATATAATTTTGTCAACCAAGGTGAGTTCTCAAAACCTATGCAGAATCAATCCTGATGTTTAGCAGGAGTCTTGGACAGTCAGTCAACTGGTGAAAAAATTATGCAGAATCTGCAGAGATGTAGTTTTATAGATAAATGATGACAATACCCTGGTCAGATAAACATAGTAATGAAAAAACTAAACTCAGGAAGAGAACTGATAACCCACAGATAAACAGTGCATGGACAGAACAGATACCATCAACACTCCACAGACTTGACTGGTGGATAATAACATGATTGCATGCTCTCAGTGAAGAATGATGAAGCAAGGTGGTTCCATCTATTGGACCTATGTGGTTTTTCTTTACTTTCTGTGACTGCATCACCACATATTCTCACAAACTCTCTCTCTCTCATATATATAAAAAAAAAAATACTCTTTCTAAAATTCATATATAAAGAAATTACAATTAAGCTGACTGGTTATAATGTGGTCTCATTTTACTATATTTTATAGCCAATAAAGTTAAATGAGTTCTATGTGCACTTGAATATAACACAAGATAAAATGAAGCTCGACCTACACAATAATTATTTTTCTTTTTAAAGGATGGGGAAGGGGGGGGGGGGGGGGGGGGGGTTATAACTATATGTTAGGAGCATAAATGGAATAATAATACAAACCAGTAGTCAAGATTAAGCTACATGACCAGATATTGCAAAGCTGGTATGTATCTACATTCAATTTAATATGGGGAAGTACTTATACACTGGTGGATATTATACCTTAATCATCATTTGTGTGTGTGTGTTTATATAAATAAACATTTATATATATATATATATATATATATATATATATATATATATATATATATATATATACATATATAAATATATACATATATATACATATATATATATATATATATATATATATATATATATATATATATATATATATATACATATATATATATATACATATATATATTTTATATATATATATATATATATATATATATATATATATATATATATATATATATATATATATATATATATATATATATATATATATATATATATATATATATATATGTATGTATTTTTATATATATATATATAAACACACACACACGCACAAATGATGATTAAGATATAATATCCACCAGTGTATAAGTACTTCCCCATATTAAATTGAATGTAGATTTATAAACCGTTACGACTGTTTATAAAATGTCAACAATTAAATCTACTGATGCATTACATAAACTGAATGAAAGTTGCGTGGGAGCTGAAGAAATCGATGATCAACAATGCATCATGACACCATATTATCAAACAACACTGTGTGACTCAGCTGTTACAATACGACAGTTTAGATCGTACATTATTAAATATTACACATCACATCTCATATAATAACATAATTAATTATTGTCAATTTCAGACGAACAAAGTAACATATATCAATAACTTAAAATATTGTAAAAGTAATACTCAAGAAGATAAACCTCCATGCAGTACTTAAATTAAATTTATGTAGAATTGTAGCAGACAATGTTTTCATGCTCTGATCTTGCTGGTTGTTTGAAATGAGTTTAAAAAAAAACACACACACAATCAAGTCCGCTTACTGGATTACAGTCACAATGCCTCCTCCTACAAGAGGAAATGTGGCTTCTCGACTGAAACTATGATGATATAAAACGATAAACATAATTTGTAATAACTGTCACTAGAAAGCCTCAGCATAGACAGGGAAATAGTCCTGGTTGTTGGGCTGTCGAGAGAAGCGAGGATGTTGATCCAGACAGACATAGATGTTATGAGACTGGAATGAAATCGTCTGCTGTGCAGACAGCCTCGGTCTGACTCGGCTTCCGCTTTCCGGCGGCCGCCGGGCCCGGGCGTGATGATGTCTGTGGCCAGCAGGCGCGAAGTCGAGCCATCGATCTTGGCCGAATCCCTCTGTGTAAATTAGTTTACGATATATCTTTTCAATGAAGTTATTCTATTGTGCCTCACCTCGCTCTGTCCCACACAACTGTTGTTTTAGCCGTCGCTATATATGTACTTATTGTGTTTGCAACTAAAGTATACCCAATTACTGATGATCCAGGCTTGGAGTCGGTTGTTGGAACCTTTCCAGACCATAGTGTTATATTGTACTATAGCAGGACTATTCAGCTGGTGGTCTGCGGGGCAAATATGGCCCGTGGATGTCTAACAAGTGGCCCGCGGATCATTGGTTTGTGTATTGTATCAATAATCTTTCTATGCGGAACTCGGGCGTCTGGTCCGTGACTATCCCCATTTTTGACATGTTGGCCTCCGAGTCAACTTTGTTGAAAAGCCCAGTACCAAAGGAACCTCCTCTGGATAGCACAAAGCCTGGGCAGCATTGCAGAGACTATGTGTTGCCCATGTAGCATGATCCCTCACTCGACATACCTTGTTTACTCCTAAGTAAAGGTAACCGATTCGTTTGGAATAAAGCATCACAGAGAAGCTGCCGGGTAGAAGAGCAGTTCTCCCCATCGATCCGCAATTCGGAGCTTTTCTCGAAGACCAGCCGCAAATCGAGCAAAGGAACCGGTCTACCCTGTCATGACATTATTTTTTTCTAGTGGCTTCTCCTCTTCCTAAGATACGTTTGATGTCTTCCACCAGTGCCCTCCTCCACCAGAGCCACTGGCCCAGTATGGGATATCAGGTTTGGTATACGCTATAAAGAGTCGTAAAAAATATATATGTATTAACTGACACTCACGGAGTACAGCGTACTCAACGTACAAAGTGTACATAGTTCCGCATACAAGACTCACAGAGTAGAACAAAATGGAGAGATAAGAGGTGCAAGATAAACATTTTTGATGTGAGATCACAACAGCTAAGTCTCAAAATCCACAAAGGAAAGACAAAAAAAAAAAAAAAAAATAAGAATTAATCAAGCAAATAGTAATGTGATTTCTCTTAATGGCATCCCACTCCAAGATGTGGAGTCGTATATTTACTTGGGTAGTAATATAGACACAGTCTGGGAACTGACAGAGATATTAAAATACGAATCACTAGTAAATTTGTCGGGTCCTAAGGTTTCTAAACCTGGCGTGCACAACAGTTTTATGGATCTTATGAGTACATGTTCTGTCGGTTCCTTTCCTCTAAGATGAATTCCAACTTCGAAGGAAGCTCGCCAGTTAATATGTAGCACATCTGTCTTCTTTGTGAATGCTGATGTCACACCCAGGTTCGTCTTTTGTTTGATACATGAGGGGTCAATTGGAAAGATATAGACGAGAAGAAAGATGATTGTGTCGATAGTGATGCTGATGATGGTCTCTGATGCTTGTATAATAAAATGTCTTGAAAGAACACTTTTTTTCTATACTGCCTTTATTGTGATACCTCAATAGTGTCACTGATAATATCAATGATATTCTAAATGGCCGCTGTGTTACTTACTCTTGAGGTCGCGTTGTATTCTTTTTCTCTTGTTACTTTGCTAACTGGCTCTCGTGTCTGTAACTACCACCTGTCTTCTAGTGCTGTCTGGTATTAACGGTTGGATCGTCCACTCTAACATCTTAGTAATGTTTCTAGCTAACGTGTCTCTGATGACTACGCATCCATGTATCTTACTTGTTGTCTCTGTAGTTTGGTGTTGTTTCGTTTTATGTCTGCACTCTAGTGACTGGTTCCTCTTCTTCTAATGTTAAGCTGGCATCTCTACAATTGAAGGTTTTCGTCTGCGAGGGTCAATGTGAC